GGGGGGGGGGGAATGCTTGTGCCTCTACAGATGATGGTGGACTGCAATAGCTGTCGTTCCTCACCCTAGGCTATACTGTAAAGGGTTGGTGGGAGAAGTACAACAATGTGCACCCATTTTAATTGATATCCTCTTTGTTCTCTCCATCATGTGATCAGATGATTTTACTTTATCAAGGCAACTCTAATTTCAGATACAGTGGGGTCTTGACTTGAGAACTTAATCCGTATTGGAAGGCGGTTCTCAAGTCAAAAAGTTCTCAAGTCAAATCTGCATTTCCCATAGGAATGCATTGAAAACCATTTGATCCGTATCTGCTCTTTCCGTCCATAGAAACCAATGGGAAGCTGCTATTCCGCCTTCTACCACTAGAGGGGGATATTTGGTTTCTTTTTTTCTTAGGTCAAGAAAGGTTCAGGGAAAGCAGGGAAAATACAGCCCAGGCAGTACCAGGCAGTCTGAAGACTCCCAATCCGCTCTCTAAACGCTGGGAGGAGTGAGGAAGCAGACAGGCACCCTTTTCACTGGCCAACAGTTAACCGAAAGTTCACATTTTGCACTTTCCCTGCCTCCCACGTGGGTTTTTTTTCAGTTCTTAACTCAAATCTAAGTACTTAAGTCAAGTCAATATTTTCCTATGAGAGCGGTTCTTAAGTCAAAATGTTCTTAACTCAAGTCGTTCTTAAGTCAAGACCCCACTGTAGTTGAATATCTAGATTACCATTCTGCTTCCCATCATTGATGGTTTGGGATTTGAGAGCTTGTTAAGGCCAAGACCACCCTCCAACATTTCCAGTCATTGTTGTTCACTCTGTGTCTCCAATCCAGAGGCTGGAAGTACTACTACTACTACTACTACTACTACTACTACTAACAACAACAACAACAACAACAATAATTATAATTATATATTTTAACTACCATTCCCAGAATGGTTAGGGGATTCTCTGAGAAGTAGTTTAAAAAAGTAGCTTTTCCAGTTTCATTAATTTTCTGCTACATCGTTTGTGTCACAGTTCTGGTTTGTTTCCATAGCGGCCTTGTTTCTAAATTATTGTACATCTGAACACAACCTGTGAGCTCCATGCTCAGACAACAAAATGCCATCAGAAGAGTGATTCCAGAGATCTTGCAATCTAAGATGAGTTTCCAGTAATCCTCTAGAAAACTGAATAAACAAATAAACAGGTGACAGACTGAACCCCAGCAATGACAGAAGAAATACTCTTGGGGACAATTAGATTAAGATTTCCAATCTGTAGCAGCTGTTTAACTTGAGACACAGCAGGCCTTCGTCTCAATCAGACATTATCCTTAGACAAGGCAAGTAGGTGTATTACCAAGTGTCTAGTAAGACCAACCTCTTCTTAATTAGGTACTTCATAAAAGAAAAATTGCCAGCCCCATCTTGATCTTCAGATCTCATGGAAGTGGTTGTCAAAAGAGCTCCTCAAAGTCCCACAAAATCGTGTTCTTAAGGACCGTTTAGAACAAGTGCTCCAGTGCATTCTTCCCCACTGTAGTGAGGTAGGAAAGAGAGTAGTGATGATGTCCTTCTTCCCTTGTCACTACTCCATTCTTCAGCCCTGTTTTGTTCCTGGGAGTCACAAAATCTAGTCATTATTCCGTTACATCTGTTAATCGCAGATATCTCTGATGGCATGGCATAATCCAGCAGCAATGTGGGTATTTTTTTCCCTTTGGCCTTAGCATTTCTTACCTTTTTAAAAAAAGGCAAAAGATATCTTATTTTTCCTTTTGGAATGGCTGCCCTCTTTCTCTGTTGATGTTCAGCATATATGAAATTGTCATGACAGATGGAAGACTCTCATGAGGAATCGTAAAATAATGGAGTTAGAAGGGGCCCATAAGGCCATCAAGTCACCTCCTGCTCGATGCAGGAATCCAAATAGCAGATGGTTGTCTAATTTTCTAACTGAAAACGGCTCCAGCATTGGAGTGCTTACCACTTCGTACGGTAAATTGTTCCATTGTTGTAGTGTTCTAACATTAAGTTTTTCCTGATATTCAGTCAAATCTGGCTTTCTGTTGGTTGAGCCCATTATTATGTGTTCTGCACTCTGAGGTGATTGAGAACAGATCCTGCCCCTGCTCTGTATGACGATCTTCTAAATATTTGAAGAATGCCATTATATCTCACCTCAGTCTTTTCCCAAGCCTGATCATGCCTAGATATTTCAGTCTTTCTTCATAGGGCTTGGTTTCCAGTCACCCAACCATCCTTGTTGTCGTCCTCTGAACTTGTTCCAGTTTGTCGGCATCCTTCTTAAAGTATGGTGAACTGGACACAATACTTAAGATGGGTCATAACCAATGCGGACTAGAGGAGAACTAGCGATTCACAGGATTTGAAAACTATACTTCTGTTAATGATGCCTAACATAGCATTTGTCTTTCTTGCAGCCGCATCACATTGTTGGTTTATATTCAGTTTGTGGTCTACAATTCCAAAATCCTTCTCAGTCATAGCATTACTGAGCCATGTATTCCCTATCTTGTAATTGTGCATTTGTTTTTGTTTTTTGTAGAACTTTGCACTTATCCCTGTTAAATGTCATTCTTTGGTTTTCAGCTCAGTGCTCTATCAAGATCTTTTTCAATTTTGTTCCTGTCTTCCAGGGCATTAGCTATTTCACCCAATTTTGTGTCATCTGAGAATTTGATAAGCATTCCTTGCACCTTATCATCCAAGTCATTAATAAAATATTAAAGAGCGCTGGGCCCAGGACTGAATCTTGTGTTACCCCCCCCCTTGTTACCTCCTCTCAGTTTGAGCAGGAGTCATTGATAAGCACTTTCTGAATACAATTCTGTAACCAGCTGTATATCCACTTGACAATTATTCTACCTTGCCCATATCTAGTTAGCTTGCTGATCAGAATATCATGAGGCACTTTATCAAAGACTTCGCTGAATTCAAGATACATTACGTCTACAGCATTCTTCCCTCTACCAGGGAGGTTACCTGATCAGAAAATAAGATTTGTTTTTGGCAGGATTTGTTATTGACAAATCTATGCCAGCTTCTAGTCACTGCATTGTTTCCAAGGTGCTTGCAGAATGACCACTTTGTAATCTGCTCCAGAATTTCCCCTGGGATCGATGTCAGGCTGATTGGTCCTAGTTTCCTCCTTTTTACCCTTTTTGAAGACAGGGACAATATTAGGGAGAGGGGAAATTAGGAAGAGAGCTAGGGATGGGAAGAAACTCCTCTGCATGAGCCAAGTCCCCTCCCTCCTTTCACATGTTTCTGCCTTGCCAGCCTCAAAAGCAGTAGCATTCAGTCTTCTGTTAATGATACCTTCTTTCTCTTCAATGTTGATCCTTATGTTGGAGTTAATTAGCATTCCTGGAGCTCTCTAATGGTAATTACAGTCTGGCAGCTGCTCCAACAAAGAGTGGTGACTAACCTGATTAGTGCCTCCCAAAGACTGAGATTCCCAGATATATGGAGACCTTGAGTGATGGTAGGATACAAAGGTGTATCTGGGGTTGGTCTGGATATTAGAAATAAGCATTCTTTCTTCTCATGCATTTGGCTATGGCTTTCCAGAAGGATTCAGAGTCCACAAGCTTTTGCTAAGGTTTCTGTGTTCTTAATAGCCCTATCTGAAATTGAGTCTTAACTTTCTACAAATCTTTTATTTTCTGATTATAGATTGTAAAATGCCCAAGGCTAAGATCCCTCTGTTAGTGTTTAGAATTTAGAAGATGGCGCCCAAATAGGAGCTGTGTGACCTCATTCTGGTGTCATATTTGTTGGGCAACCTAAGGACTTACATGCCATGTTTTAATTCTTCATTGTGGTGTATCGAAAGAATAACCAAATGCCTCTGAGGAGTCTGTGTGTACATGTGCATGTGTGCCATGTAACACTGTAGTCTTAATTAAATTGGGAATGGATACCCTTAACAAGGAGAAACCCCACCTTTACTTTGTGGTGAGACATTTAGAAGAGTGAAAACGCTTGGACAAATTCTTCAGTATGCCCCAATAATATAGCTGGTGTAAAAAGCTTCATCTAGGTTGGTTTTTGTGTTCAGAGAAATGCATTTCATTGGTATTATACCAATTGCACTGACTTCTGATTTGTTTCTGATTCAAAGTCCTTTTTTTGCACTGTAGCTCACAGAGTCCTTCAGCCAGGTTGGCCAGAGGATTCTGAGTGTTGTAATAATCTTTGCTATCGTGTTTTCCAAGCTTGGGAATATAAAAGAATGATGGGGAGGGAGAGGGCAGACATGTGCTGTTTTGCTTGGATCTGAGAAGATTTTTGAATACTCATTGCCTTGAAGCTGGAAATGAGTCACATTTCCATACTGTGCAACAGATTGTTTTTCGTCTTCCTCTCATCTTTGGTCAAACAATTTTTGCAGGGTTTCCATTTTTAAACGACATCTGAACCTACCAAATTTGATTTCCTGAGCCAAAAGTGAGAACCGCACACTCACCATTGACAGCTGCTCTTATTAAGATTTCCTTGCCTAGCGAGGGGCATGATTCTTTGCCAATCTGTACTTTGAAGCACAGCCCTAAACTTTTCCTAATAGTCTGACGTCTCAGCACCAAACGTGAAACAATCCTGGCTAGGAAAGGATGGCATGAGAAATTAAGAGAAATTGAACCCAGCAGGGAAAGTGCAGGTCATGAGCAAGGAACATTTGACAAAAGCAGTATGGCTAAGGTACTGAAGCATATGTGCAGATCAGTGGCAAAGATAAGCACTGGGAAAGAGTGACCATAATCCTAGTGTAACTGAATAAACCATGGCAGTGGACTGCTATGTATTAGTGAGTACCCTTCCACTACAGTCCTATATGGTGCCTTTGATAACTTAAGGGGGAAGCAGAAGGTAGCCAATGAATGACTCACTGAAGGGCTGCTTCTAAGTTGCAGATTGCTGGAACTCTAGCAGAAGATGTTAGACTTGGCCAGTGTAGAACCCTGCAGGCCAGGATCCAAACGAGTATCCATATTCTAGCTCCCTGCACCACTCTGAGCCCACCAAAAGTATCCTGGGGGGGGCAAGTGTCATTTCCACTCCTGGAAGCCTTCGGGAGGTGGAATTCTCCTATGAAACAAGGCCCCCTCCGTGCCTTCTCTTAAATTCCACCCAGTCCTCCAAAGTGGCATGTTTGAAGCTAGAATATGCCTCTAATTGTTTTAGACAGGTGACAGCCATCTGGAGTGGTAATGGCAGGGAAAATTGGACTCTTTGAGTCCCTGGAGCTTGCTGAGCCTTAAATGAGGCAGACCTTGAGTGATTAAGCAAGAGACATTGTGTATCCTCAAGGGTAGATTCAGTGTAGAATATAGATTCAGAATCATGCAACACAGATCAGTTTATCTTCTTAATCTAGGTAGGCACTTTTGCTTTGTCCATTTAAAAAAATGTCAGTGAATCATAAGAGTTGTAGCAAGAAGCTGAGAAAATGTAAGATTGAATTCAGCTGCCTTACAGGGCTTGCTCATCTGCAGTACTTTGCTTTAAGCAAGCTTATTTCTTCCTTTGATCTCAAAGAGTGGGACATGCATCTATATAAGCTGCAAGACTTTGCATCCATGCTGTACAAACTGATGGAAGATCAGCATCTGACAGCAAACTATTGCTGTGCCATGATTTAACAGAGGGGTGATCAACAATGTCACTATTTAGATGGTATTTTGAAATGCTGCAAATCCTTTGTAACCTTACACGTGCCCTTGACCTGTTCCCCCCCATTGTGAGTGATGGCCACTTGATGTAGTGCAACCACTGTGGTGCTTCAATGGTGGTGTCTAGGTATAAAAACAGGAAGAAAATTTATTTATTATTTGCAAAAATGCCATTTCTTGCTCCTGGAGATCTTTAGAAGCATTTTTTTCTGTAAAAAAAAAATTGGGGGTGCCGATCCCCCTGAAAGACATTCCCAGCTTCCCATCTAGAACCGTAAGTAGGATTCCTAAAGCTATATTTTTCTCAGGGTGTTGGTTTCAGAGCGCTTTCACAATCCTTAGTGGGCTCTGGGTGTGTGACATCAGCCACTTTGACATTCCCAAATTGCCTGCTCCTGCTTTTTGAATACTCAATGTCTGTTCATGTGAGGTCCCGTAAGAGACTGTGCCCTTGACTGGAACACTATTAGCTACTGTATATATAAGTAAGAGAACAAGAGTCTTTGTCGATATGGGCCCTGGGCTGTTTGTTGAGAAGGTTAGTTTAGATAGCAGAGGTGTGAACAGTGGTTTCAACCATGAAGATGGATCTTAACTGTTTTAGCTCTCTCTGTTGTAGTGGATTTCTTCTATTCCTGTTGTTTTTCTCACAGCCCTGACCAGCTTTGAGGTTGTGATCCAGTATGGTTTGGCCACCCCCGAGGGACTTGCTGTGGATTGGATTGCTGGCAACATCTACTGGGTGGAGAGCAACTTGGACCAGATAGAGGTGGCAAGGCTGAACGGGACCATGCGGAGTACTTTGCTGGCTGGAGACATTGAACACCCTCGTGCTATTGCTCTGGATCCCCGATGCGGGTACGATGAGGAGAAGATGCTGAGAGGCACTGTTAATGTTCTTGGAAATGGGAAGGTGGGGATCAGGAAGAATAAATAGCTCTCCTCCTCCTTCTGGTCCCATTTGTTACTCTTCCCCAGCTTGGTCAACTAACCCTATGCAAAATGCTCCCTTTTCAGGGATGTCTTGGCAATTCATTAGCCTAGTTTCATTGCCTTGTGCCAGAGGGAGCTGAGACAGGGTGAACCATTTGGCTGCTAAGGGAATTTAAAAGAGGGCCAGATCGGGGAGCTGCAAAAGAATTGAATTTTTGCAGTAGCCAGGGCACTCTATAGAGCCAGCCATCCTGACCTGTCCTTTCTAAACAGTGAAAGCAAGTTTCTGGCTCTTAGGGCTCCAGGGTTGCTTTTCCACTTGTACTCATAGTATCTGATATAATCTTAAAAGCCACAGGGAGGGGCATAGATTTAGGGCTTTGTAACTCATGCACTTGTGTGTCTCTCAAGGGCAGGAAGCAAATCGGACACTCTTTTTACTCAAAAAATGGATGTTCATGAAAACCTCACCAGTGCTGAAGCTTTCTCCATCTCCCTCCCCGGGTTGGCTCTCTTCTCCACAGGAAGCATATCATTTTTCTCTGCTGAAAGCAGGCCACCAAAGAGCATTGTGGGATAACCCTATATAATTTGTCCGAACATGGCTTTCTTGATGGTGGCTGGAAGGAAGAGTGGTGTATTTCGCCCTCTTAGACTGCATGAACACTGCAGGGATAAGGCAGAGCCCTTTAAAGGGTCCCCTGCAGGGGTACCTCATGTTGTTTTCCTTTATTAATATAAAGGTAGTCTTAGATTCAGGATCTAACCCTAATAACTGCAGATACAATAGGACATCTCCTGACAGGTGGTTAATCTCGCAAGTGGTGCATACTGTGGAGAGCTTAGCTGCCGCTGCGTTCTAGAAGCCGTTTAAGGTCTCACCATGCAACTGAATATGAGTTTTTCTCCATCTCACCTCTCACGTGCCTACACCTTCTCTTTTCCTCCCAGGATCCTGTTCTGGACAGACTGGGACGCTAGCTTGCCCCGAATTGAGGCCGCTTCCATGAGTGGCGAAGGCCGACGTGTCATCCATAAAGAAACCGGCTCAGGCGGCTGGCCTAACGGACTTACAGTTGACTACCTAGAGAAGCGAATTCTGTGGATTGATGCCAGGTGTGTAGCTGGCCTTCTCTAAAGGTCCTGAAATTCAGACTTTTGGGTAGTCATTTTGATGAGCAGACATTTGTTGTAAAAAATCAAACAACAAAAAACCTGAGTTGTCTTAGAATGTTCTAATAACTGGTACTTTTTTTAAAATGGGGAAAAAAATTCTGCCCTCTACTGTCGTTTCTGCTGGCTAATATGATTCCAAACACCGTTGTCCTTCCGCAACTGTTGCATCTCGTCGTTTCTTATATCAGTTACATGGATGATTCTGTTGCATAGGCCCCATGATGTTACCTAGTTATTCGGCTTGGCCTGTTACCTGAGGGTGAAAATGAGGGGAAATGGAGTGCGGAAAATGCCAGAACAATCTAAATAAGTTGACATTTTCACATTGTATGCCATACATTTATTGGGAAATTGGAAACATATTCTCCTTAGACAGCTAAAAATGTTCTTACATCTGTCTGGAATAGAGAAGGGCATGAGCCACCAAACCGGGCAGTTTGTGCCAGTTCACTTCTTGTCCTGGGCGCTGCCTCTGAGTGGGGGCCCACTGGGGGAGGCAGTGAGGGAGTGTGCCAAAGATATGTGTGGATGAGAAACAAGCTGGCAGGAACTGCCGTTTTGTGCCCATCTCGCATCAGGAATAGTTCCATTTTCACTTTGCTTTTTATGACTGGTGACAATTTTGAACAGAGAAGGAAATAACAGTCACCACAAGCATATGTGTGTGTGTGTGAGAGAGACGTTCCACCCAGTGTTCCCTGTTTGTTTTCCCCAAACCAAGGTTCACTCTGGCGATGTTTTCTCTTTCATTCACTGCCACCAATGGATATCTCTTATCCACACTTGCCCAATATTTGAATCAGACACTTGCTGCCAACATAACTTGTTTATTTAGATTGAACTTGAATCACAGATTTTTTAATTATTGTATAGAATCACTTACTAAAAGTTCTTATCTTTGGTTATACATTCACTTCTTCATTTCTCTTATTGATTTATTCACTTTGAACAACATTAATAATATCAGTTCTCCCTAGTTCTCTGACTATCTGTCTTGACTATTCAATTTCTCTCCTCCACACTCGCATTCTCTCTTTCAACTTCTTTTTCCTCCTAACTTCCATTCCAACTGCCTCCAACTGCCTCCCTGACTCCGCCCCTCCTGTCCTCTCTTTAGCTCCTGCACTTGAGCTTCAGCTGTGATTGACAGGAGTGACGTGGGCATTCCCTCACAGTGTGTTTGAATATAAATGTCCTGGACTACAGTGACATACATTCAGTGCTTGATTCAATGATGATGGTGATTTTTCTATCTATACTAGATAATTAAGCCTATTATCTTTGTTAACTATAGCTAGTTACTTTACATAAATAATATATTGTTTTATAAAATAAAAAAGAGTGCTAAAGTGATTTGCTGGAAATAAAATACAATGTCTACCCCATCTGGTCTACTCGACCACTCTAGGTAGCTTCCAGTATAGGATAAAACAATGAAACACAAGAACATTACATAATCATTTGATACAGTTATAATAAAATAGAGTGAGAATAAAATAAGAAGGAATAGAAAAGAAATCAGGTATTGACTGGAGGGAAGGCCTGGATGTACAACCATGTTTTTAATTGGGTTTTAAAGATTCCCAGTGTAGGGGCCTTTTCTTATTTACACACGTGGGATGCATGTAGAGAGTATGTTTACAGACACTTTTTTTCCTGTGATCCTTTCCTGTTCATTACGATAGTCCTGCTCATCTTTCTGCTCCTTCTACAGGTCAGATGCAATCTATTCTGCCCTCTACGATGGCACAGGGCATATTGAGGTGTTGCGAGGTCATGAGTACTTATCCCACCCCTTTGCTGTCACCCTTTATGGTGGAGAGGTATATTGGACCGATTGGCGCACCAATACCCTGGCCAAGGCCAACAAGTGGACTGGCCACAATGTCACCGTTGTGCAGAGGACCAACACACAGCCCTTTGACTTGCAGGTCTACCACCCCTCCCGCCAGCCTCAAGGTGAGAAAGAAACCTGAGGAGAAGGAGGGCAGGGAAAGGGCCAGGTTGCCAAATAGGCAATTCTGTGGAGGCAGGCCTGATGCTGGGTGCATCCACAGCTGCGGTTTAGGTCACCGGGCCCAGACCCGGAGAACCTTTGTTGAGCTGGGAGAGTGCCGACTTGAAAAGACAGTATGGGGTTGGAGCGTCTTCTGCTGATTCAAGGATAGGACCATAGGATGCTGCTGGTCAGATAATTTCCCACCTAGACCTTGGAAGAGTCCCAGAACCCCTTGCTAGCATGGCTAGTGGGCCCATTTTAAGAATGGTAATTTAGAAAAGGAGCTATTTTAGTCTTTTTCGGCATGTTGGCAAAATATGGGGGAGGGGGAGGGAGAGGAAAAAAAGAAAAATGCAAAATATTTTGGCACTTCAAAACCGGAAAAAAAATGTATTTCTCTGTGAGCTTTTATGAACCACAACATTTTTCATTAAATAAATCTGTTAGTCTTTAGAGTGCCACAATATTTTGCCTCAGTGAAGGGCTTTTTCCTAGTTAATTCAGCCCACATGTAATCCAAAAAAGTTACTTCCTCAAGCTCTCTGTCTGTCTAGACTGGTATTGTCTGCTTATGACTAATAGTAGGTTTCTGCGCTCCCAATGTTCTCTGATAGAGTTTGTGTTGGTTTGCACAATTTCTTAGAAGCTTATTTTTTAAAAAGAGGGGGCAGGAAAGCATGTTTCTAAAAAGGATATATCAATTTATATATATATAACCCTGTCTGAACAGTACATCTATGAAGTACAACCCCATCTCTTTCCAGCAGTAACAAATTATCATTTGGCTTCATCTCTGGTGGCATAATCTGGTAGATAATACTTGGTGACCAGCCTTTTTTGAAATTAATAATGTGTCTTCCAGCACTTTCTGGTTCCTGGAAAAAAAAGGCTCAGAAAGTTTCTCTGTGGGGAGCGTTATTGTTTGAGGGGGCTTCCCCACCCCAAAAGCATTTAATTTTTTAATTTTTATTTTGCTCTGTATAGGGGATAAGATTGCTTTCTTGCAGGTTTTAACCTCCATTTTTGCTGGGAAAATGTTGGAAATGAGGGTGCTCAGGAGGAAGTGTTGCCATCCAAAGTTGAATGAGCTTGCACAGCCTTCAGATCTTGGGTGATTACGCCCCCACCCCCGGGGGAAGCCTGGGTAAACTATACATGGCTTCCTTATGTAGTAGAGATGAAACTCTGCCAGTTAATTTAGTTGGTCATAGTTTTTGTTCCATCCTTGCTGCTAAAGGGCTTCACAAGCATCTGATGGTTTAACTTGCCTGACGAGGAGGAGGAGGAATGCTTATATAGTGAAGGCAACAAGCATGGCATTTTATAGAGTAACATAAGCAAATGAATGAATAAATAAATAAACAGTCCATGACTCAAGGATGTAGAAGCTTAATTGACCTTGGTAGGGCAACAGAACGAAAAGAGGGAGAGGTACCAGAGAATGAATTTTGCCACTTTATGTACCTAAGCTTTGTTATGGTTAACCAATTAAAAACAGTAGCAGATTCATAAGAGGACTTTAATCTGTGTGGAAATAATTTTTCCCCTTGAAGCAGATCAGTTCTTGGTGGTGGTTTGGGATTCCAGCTGTAGACACTGCAACTTAGATTTCTGTGCAGCATCGTTTCAGCTGTGAAAGAGCTAAAGGCCAGGGCTTTAGAAAGTATAGATCCAGCCCTGTGTTACCAGACTACCCAGAAATCTGGATGCTGCTTTCCAAAGCAGCTTGATGTCATTTGTGCCCTAACCTTTCTAGGGTGGGTTTTTGCCTTCTCTTTAGAATAAGACATGTTGATCTTAACTGTTTTTCTTCATTGTTTGATTTGTTCCAGCTCCCAACCCTTGTGAGGCCAATGGAGGGAGAGGACTTTGTTCACACCTTTGCCTCATCAACTTCAATAGCACCTTCTCTTGTGCTTGCCCACACCTCATGAAGTTGGACAAGGACAATGTCACATGTTATGGTAAGTGGCAGGTGGAGAGTTTGGCCTCCTCTCTATCCCTGAGGACCTCAGTGGAGAAATTCAGAAGTCCCACCCTTGGAAATCAAGACTTGGGACAACAGTGAAGTTAATGTGCAGTTTGGAGTAAACTTATATTACAGTCTCAGATTCTGGGGCTGCCTTCCCTTTTAATTCGGCTCAGCTTTGCATTGTGGACAAGCATGGATCCCAGGCTTAAGTGAGCAGAAGCACCATATGTTTCTAGCCTTTGGGGATCAGGTGTAAGGGAGATCTCGGAAGAGTGTAAAATCAGAAGCCAGTGCTCCTCATAGCCTTTGAGGTGGGTGAGTGGAGGAGCTTTTGAACCCATGGCTTACTCAGGCATACTGGACTGCAGCTACCATCATGCCCATTTGCTTTGTCAGCAGGCACTGCTTAGAATTTAGGACAGTTTATCTGGAGGGTGTTGAATTAGGGAAGGCTTTGCTAGTTGGGAGTTTTCCACAGCCTGTGAAATGCCAATAGGAATTGCAAACTCCTTAGATTTGCAGGGGATGTAACTTCAGAGACTAGGGCTGCCATTTTTATTCCTTGGGCCTCCATTGCAGGGCACACAACACACTTCCATTGAAGCTAGCAAGTATCTGGAAGCTCCCTCAGCCCTTTTAAAAATACACTTTCTACCATTAAAAAGGCATCAAACGGGATGTGATTGCAAGCTAAACTGTCTTTCCTGTTGGCCCCTTAATGCGTGACTTCCCATTTCTTAAAAAATGTAACAATTTTTAGATTGAGAATTTTGATTATAACATGTGTTCTCATAACATCAGCAGAGTAAGGAGATATTGGTTAGCAGAGATACTTACGACACTATGGCACTGAGAGAGTAAAACCAACAACTTAGTCTGTTTACATACATACATAGAGAACAGACATTCCTCTGGCAGCATAACATGACACGAAGGAACACACAGCACAGGAAAAAGTGATCTGACTTACAGCAGATAAAGACGTTCAGTTTACACGTGACTTAGGTACAGTTCTGTGACCAATCAGAAAATGCATTATTTCATTTTCTGTTACACAAAATTTCATCATGTACCACAGCTTTACAACATTAAATCTTAGTCCTTGATACCACCACCTGAATACAATCAGTACAGTGACTCAGGTAAAATCAGCCATTTTACATTTAACTATACAACATTAATATTTAATACATTTTCATATCAAAATTTCAACACTCCTCCATGACAAGGTTTGCTTAATACTTTTGACAGTTCCTCTTCTTTTAAATGGAATGACAATGAAGGAGTTTCATTAAAACAGCTTTTATCAACATCACTCGTAGTTTCGTCTTTATTTAATATAACAGTTTCATTCAACGATAACTTGGGAGGAGAACAGTCCCATAATAACAATGATTTTTCTGCATTTTCCTCTTTCAATGATATGTCTTCCCGAATTTCTCTTGATTTGTTGGAGCCCTCAGAAAACCGCTGTGGATGGCACAAATGGTCCCGTAACATGGATGTTGGGACCATTCTCCCTCTGGAGGTTTCCTGCCTGGTGATGGAGTTTTGGGGTGATTGACATATTTCACTGGACTTGAACCCTTTGGATAAACCAGCACTGTCATTTCCTCCGGCTGATAGCCTTCAATAATCGGTTTCCCTCTTTCTTTCACATTTATTTTGTCACTGACACTTCCATTATTCTGGTTTAGATAACTTTTACTTATTTCTTTTCTTCGTACTTTAAACAACTTAGGACCCTCTATTCCTTTTTCTTCCCAATCTTCCTCTTATACTACTACTTTTTCAGTTTCTGTAGACTTTTCGTTTATCTTGGTGGTAAGGAAAATATCCACCTTCTTTTTACCCAGATTCTTCTTCTCTAGCTTCTCCCTCTCCGTTACTTCTAACGTCCCCAACGCCTCTAAAGACTCTCCCATCTCACACTCCTCTTGATCTCCGTTCCCTTCTCCCTTGCGCTTTCCTGATTCTGGACTTTTCCCTCTCGTGCTTGACTCTGTCTCTTTTCCTTTCCCCACCTCCCTTTCCTCCTTTGACTCTGCTTCATTTTCATCATCTCTTTTTGATTCCTTTCTTTCCACTTGTTTTTCTCTAGACGGCTGAGGGGACGGTACACTCTCTGTCTTTTGTTCTGACTTCCCTTCACACTCTCCTTAAATTTAATTGTTGTATAAACCAAGCTTATTGCATAGATAAACATGCTTCTGCATTGGCAATGGCTTCATGAAAATGACTGCAATATTATTTTCACTTGGACAATATTGTAAATCTATCAGCTTCTGATCCACAGCCCTCTTTACATTGCAATACTTTATGCAAATGTGCGTGCTTGTACTCTTCATTTGATTCTCTGTTGCCAATTAAACGCAAGTGGTGCTGTCACTATGCACTGTGACAGGTAAATCAATTTGCATATTTACATCTTTCAGTAACTGCACAAACCATGTGATTTCTCCACATAAATTACTTAATGAAGCATACTCAGCTTCTGCTGTGCTTGTGGCAACTAAATCTTGCTTTCTAGACTTCCAGCCTATTAAAGCCTCACTTAGACTGGTAGCCATTCCAGAAATTTACTTTCTATCAGTTTCACATGAACCCTAATCTGAATCTGCACAGCACTGTAATTTCAGATTTTTTAATGCATTTAACATCAATTTGCAATCTATGGTTCCCTTTAAATATCTCAGCAGTCTTTTGACACCATTCCAGTGCTTTTGCAAGGTTTTGCAGCACTGACTTAAAATGTTTACTTTGGCTGCAGTGTAAAACTTTGATTCACAAAAAGTCCCTTATGTTGCTGGGTACTATCTGGTAATGTCTTCAACTTGTGAACCCATCTGCCACCGACCATTTTTCTTATTGGGTATGAGGCAATTTTAACACCTCATAACTTTCAGGTTCAGACATTACCATATTTACATATGCTGTAAACCTCTCAGGTGGAACACCAAAATTAGACCTCCATGAGCATCTTGGAACAATTTCCTCAGCCTCACTACATGTCTCATGTTCCCCTGCTACAGCTTCATTTCCTTCTTCATATGCTTCACTTTGTTCTTCCTCATTTTCAAACTTCTCTTGTCTATCTTCAGACAGTGGCAAAAGTATTTCACTATTTGCATGAATTTGTGACCAGTTCTCATTTTCACAAAAATTAGATGACCTACTAATTATCACATTTCCATACTGATCACAAAATCTATAACTTTTGCTTCCTGTTTGATAGCCTAAGAAAACCAACTTTCTTGCCTTAGGGCTACCTTTTTTTTCTGCATGTTTTGGGTATATGAACCCAAGCATGACAACCAAAAATGTTCATATGTTTCACACAAGGTTGGCTCCCATGTCATAGAAAACAGGGTGTATTTTCTACTGCAGAGTTCCACACACTGTTCAAAATATAATTAGCATATTTTTATGGCTTTATCCCAGAAACTTCTGGGTAACTTGGCATCAGCAAGTAATGAGTCTGACACAGTTTGCAAAACTCCATTTCTTCTTTCTGCAACTCCATTCTCAGCAGGTGTGGCTACATTTGTACACCTGTGATGAATACCTTCTTCCTTAAGCCAATTTACAAAATAATGTGCTAAAAACTCTCCCCCTCAATCTGTCTGAACAGACACTATGGGAGTACTAACTCTTTGTTCTATGATCACAACAAAATCTTTAAATCTTTGGAAAATGTCACTCTTAAGTTTCATTACATAGACATAGCTATATCGTGAGCAGTCGTCTTTTATAATTAAACAGAACTTATTACCACCTTTTGTGGGCTTGCAGTGGTCCCGCAACATCAAGATGAACCAACTGAAAAATCTTGTCACTGACTCGTTTGCTTTTCTTGCTCACAGGAAAAGCCTTTGACTTGGTTAATTTACATATGTTACAATCTAAATATTCTATGTATGCCATGTATACACTTTTCATGTGGTTTTGAGTTGTTCACCACATTTATGGCTTCATTCATTTGGCTCTGATTCATCACATCTAGATGATCCTTTAGATAACCATTTGCTGCCTGTGCACCAATTTTCATTACTTTGCATTTGACTTGCTCACAAGTTATAGTGTACCCGCCTTTATCTAGACTTGATACACTTAAAAAATTATTCTCTAAGCTCGGCACACACAAGACATTTTTTAGAGTTTGCTTTAAATAGTTTATGTATGCAGAGCCTGTTCCAATTACAGATGCTGACTTTCTATCTGCTACCTTCACTATCTTTTGAGCTGAAGGGGTTAAGTTTGTGAACATCTCTTTTCTCTGGCACACATGCTGAGAAGCTTTGCTTTTAGCCATAAATTACTTTGTTTGTTCTCACAAGCTTTAATGATAGTTAAATGGCCTTCACGCTTCCACATTTGCTCTTTAAACACCATCTTCTTTCTTTTCTCCCCTCCATCACGTCTGGGACAGTTTTTAGAAATATGTCCAGTACATCCGCAATTATAACATTTAACAGCTAAAATTTTTTCTTGGCTGGCAGTGAAGTCATCATACACAGACCCTCTCGGTTTGCGCTGATAAACGACCTTCTCCGCTGCCTTACCACATTGGTGGTCCTCCACCACAAGTCTCCCGGACAAATATTGTACCATCAGGTCTTTCTCTGGCATGTTCTCCAAGCTTATCACCAGATTCTCCCAGCTATCATCTAGGCTGCTCAGAATCACGAAACACTGGTGTGACTGGTCAGACTCCATCTCTCGCTCCTGCAGCTGGAGAAACAAATCTAAGATCTGTTTCATATGGTTAGACACATCTTCTACAGGCATTAAACGCTTGTGATATAGCTTACATGCCACAGCCATTTTAGATCTGGCTGTATCTCGTACACAGACATTCCTGAGTGCCTGCCAACACTCCTGGCTTGTTTTCAGATTCCTCGCGTATGTCAGTTGCAAATCTTTCAAACAATATTATCATGGCTCTTGCTTTATCATCGTTTGCACATCCCTCCTCATCATCAGGAGGATTTT